TTTCAAAAGTGACAGTGGATTGGAGGGTGACAGTGCCACCTCTCCAATGACACTGGACAAACCAACAGTCCATCAAATTTCTCCTCCTCCAGAAAAGAATGCAAAACAATAATTATTTAGAGAAAAGCACATGACAAAGTTCATTACAAGAATGTTAACATCAGAAGACTTAGAAGAACTTAGAAGAACAGGGTGACAGATCTCTCAACGGATCTCCCATCCCATCAATTTCTTTCTCCACTTTCTTTAGCTTGAGTATGCTATAGTTCTGTTTCACAGCATCTTTTTAACACTCTCTAGCTTCTGAATGTGTAATTAACCACCCACCAAATAAGCATCTTTATAACTGAAGTGCATGTTCATTCATTCGTGTGAGAACTCCCACATTAAAGTGAGAATTGTTGTAAAACTATCCACTCTAGTGCTTACCCAAAGCACAGAGCTCTCTTTTTTATTTTTGCTTGGGGTTTTTTTTGTTTTTGTTTTTTTGGGTTGGTTTTGTTTGTTTGTTTGTTTGTTTTGGTTTTGTGCTTATTCTCATTAAAATTTAGCGTCTTCTGGATTAAATTATGTGACAGGATAAAATTCAGTAACAAAATTACGCCTTATCCTTATAGTTTGTTGAGAGGTATATCCCTTCTCTTATTAGTAACTGCCATTCCCCAGTACACTTATAAGCTCATCACTCTCAGACTCACTTGCTGTATCTTTTGACATTATGTCATGCAGAGACTCACATAAACTAAGACTACTCTTAACCCTAAGGGGTTTCTTTGCATGATGGCTCCTCTGTTGCTTGTTTTATCAATCAATAACCAACTAAAACTCAACTTCAGTCCTAATCCACCAGTTCTCCCTGGGGTAGAACATGCAAATAGCTTGACATAAATCATGTGCCTAAAAATAAACAGTACTCCAAACCTTTGCAATAGAAAGAAGGAAAAAGGAGGGTTAAAATCTTACTCATTTGGACACCTACTTCAAGCTTTTTTTCTTTTGAAGTGCTTTTTACTACTTGAAAGATTTATTAAAAGGATATATATCCCTAGGCCATTTTTCCTATAAAACATGAGCATGAGACTTCCTTAGGGACATGACTATGTGAATTTATTTCATTTGAAGAGCATTAGAAAGGCAAAAACACAAAGAGAAAGTGTCAGGAATCTGACTCATAACAGGAACATAAAGATTAACCACTTTCATCTGTTTGCCTGACTAATAGATAAAGAAAAAAGAGCCTTGAATACTTTCAAGCAAAGTCTGTAAAGTTATTCAAGATTTGAGCAGCAATGAATAATCCAGGGAAACTGCATCAAGGGTGGAGGTTGAGAAATGCTGTTTAATAAACAAAAATACAATGTGATACACAGTGTGCAACCAACAGACAGGAAAGTTTACCTGTGATCATTATTATTTTGGCTGTATTTCATGGAACACATAAGATACGGATGGAAGGCTGCAAGACATCAAAATTTTTCCCTTTGACAACCTAAAAAATAAGTGTAATTTCATAGTTCTGTTCATATGTCTATGTCAATCTCAGTAGACTAAGACATATTTGACTAGTAAGTTAATTGTTTTAATGTCATTCCTATGAGTATGGTCCCTAGAACTCCAGTAGGAGAACTACTTTTTGTTCTTCTTGATGGAGAAGCAAGCCTAGACAAATTACAGAGTTAAGTTAATATTTTTTTATGTACCAGAAGTTTTAACTGAAACTCAAATGTATTTTTTTTTCTCTCATGTGATAATCCAGAATATGTTCTTTGCCTCCCTGGCATATGTCAAAAACATTCACTGGGAAGTATGAAGATAAGATGCTGTGAAAACCTAACTAAAGCAACCTGTTTAATTCTTCTACTTCATGCTCAGAAATTTATTAATTAACTATAAATACTGACAATGACTGCTTCTTCAATATAGCTTTTTTTGTGGGGTAGCTCTTCTTTTCTGTAAATTGACAAAATAATTGTGATCATGATATGAACTAAGATAATCAAGACAGTTTTCCAGATTTCATTTTATGATACTCAAGTGTTCATACATCTTCATGCAGGAAAAAAAGCTGGCATACATGCCAAATTAATGCATCTCTTACTGCAAAAAAATTACTTATGTACCAAAATATGAAAGGTTCAAGTAATGTTAAGTATGTCAATGCCTATACATGGGTTCAAGTAATGTTAAGTAAGTCAATGCCTTTACATGATATACTGAAGAGCCCAGATTTTAATTATTAAAAAAATCCAAGACTTTATTTCAGTTACTGACATAACTGAAATAAAAACATATGAATAACAAATAACCTAAAACATTTTCTACCTTTTTTCCTTATAATTGCTTGATAGCTTGTACTACATGGACAGGTGATAAAAAGCCTAAATCACTTTCTTGGGTTGCACTATAATATATATTCATTGAGTGACCTCTGAAGTATAATTAGAAAATATAGTTTTTTGGAATGTACTGTCATTTATATTTATCTATGTAGGTGAAGTAAAGATAGAATATCTAACTTATCAATGGTTCACATCAAATTATCAATTTAAATATTAATGCAGATTTAAAAATTACTGATTTATAGCATGGCAAGAAATGATGCAATTCTCCTCAAATCACAATATCTGAATAGACCTAATCAGTTAAGAAGTATTAAACACAGAAGAGACAGCATTCTATCTATCTATATATTACTTGATTAAAACTATTTTATATGAAAATACAGCCATCTTTTAGAGCATGTAACTAGACACTAAGTAGCCAGTATTCACTATAGATTATTTCATATATTTCATCATAAGTGATGCATTTCTAGACTCTCAGAAATTACTGAAGTTTCATCTGTCCTATTCTAGATGAAGATTTCTAGGCATTTCTTCCCACTGCTCTCCTAAGCAGCACATACTCAGATCAGTTCCTGGATAAAAATGAACTGTGTCTTCTGTTTGATTTAGAATAGTTTTTGTCTCTTTTTTATCTCTGAATACTGAGAAAAAAGTTGAGGCACCAGGGAGTTTTCAGTCCAGCTGTTGTGGCATAGATCAATATTTAAAATGCACAGTGGTGATTTTTCTTCCTTTGAAAGTAGGACTGTGCCCCGAATTCTGGTACTGTTAAATCCAAGACTTTATCAGTGTTAAACACAAACCCTAATATTGGTTTTTATCCAGAAGCACTACTCCACTGACAAACTAAACAAAACAGTAATATACTTCAGTCATCAAGTAAATATAACAGTAATAAAATTTTTAATTTGTGTTTGATTTTTGTGCTTCCCTGGAGGAATTTTCAAGCTATAATACTTTATGAATTAGGAGTTAAAACATTCCAGCTTGAGGGAAATAACTCCTTCAACCTTATTTCTTGATTTCACAGAGTTAGAACAACAAACTTTTGAGAGCTCATGAGTGCATGGGTAAAGCTGGCCAATGCAAAGATTCCTGGTTGAAAATACAATGTTTCATCACTTTCCTAGGGATAAATCTTCTTCTAAAATGTTACTTAGTAAGGTACAGGTGAATTGCAGAATTCTGTGTATCATCTTATTGACACCAACTTCTCATGCCTGGGGTTTATGAGCCAGGTGACAATAGGCAATTTTGCTGCCATATCCCTCTCCTACATTTCACCATAAAGCTTTTAATTCTGTAATTATGTCCCTGATGCAGTGTACTCTGTGACACCCCTCCCAAGTGGGCAGATGTTCCTAAGCAGATCTCTTATGTTGTGAAAGGAATCTCCCTTGGGTTTAGCACTGTCAGACTGCATTAAGAGCAGGTATGAAAGGTAAGAAGCAGATGCATCGTGCTATTTCTGTTTGACACACTGTACCTCCAGCCAATGTTTTCTACTGGTACAGCAACACTGAGCCAACAGGCTAATGAATGGAGCCTGCAGAATACATTGTTAACCTGCAACCTCATCCAGTCTCCATGCAGTCTATTAAGTCAGTACTCCTATTATTCACATTTTTCTGTTTACTGCTGCTGATGCATTTGCTGTTGTACTTTATTTTGCTCACAGTAATATACAGCTGTCTCAGAACCAAAATACCAAGGTGAGTAGACCAGCACTGGAGGGAGAAGAGGAGGAGGCTGTGAGGGGCAGTTGGTGACCTGCCGACTTACTTGCACGACGAAGCTTGCAGCATCTCTTTTCCCCTCTGTCTCTTCTCACTGACGGCCCCAGAGCACATCTGCGTCACATGCAAGGGAGGGGGCGGCTTGGTGAGAGGCGCCGAGATAGACAGAAAATTGTATACTGAGGACCTTGACAGCCTCACGGGCGGGATTTTTTTTTCCCCTCCTACGTACAGTGCATATAAAGGAGCCCCGATTTCTTCCAGTGCCAGCTCTCAGGCTTTGCCATCCCAGATAACGGCAGGCATGGGACTCCCCAGAGAAACGGGATGGGAAGGCGGGAGGTGGAGAGAGGCTTCCAGGTGACTTTTTCCTCTCTGCCTGCACTCGGTCACGGAGCTCTAAGAGACTGAGGAGGTGCCACCTGCCTCCCGCTGTGGCTGCTGCCGCCGCCGCTCCTCTCCGGGCTCTAGCTCGCTCCCTCGTTAATCTGCGCGTCCTAGCAGCCTCCCTCACCCGCTCTTCCCTCGCAAGTGTCCGTCTCCCCTGAGAGATGTCTCTCAATTCTGCCTCTCTCTCCTCCCCTTTCCACTGATCACCGTGCAGTCCTCGTCAGCTCTGGGCATCTCTCCCTCTCTCTTTCTCCCTTTCCTGCTGGGTGTCTCTACCTCCTCTTGGCTCTGTGCATCGCTCCATCCATCCTCCCTCTCTCTCCGCACTGGTGTGTGCGCGCATCTCTCTCCGCCCGGCGGCTGCCACCCCTCGCCCTACAAGCCCAGCGCTGCCCGGAGGAGCCGCCGCCGCCGCCGCCGCTGCCGGAGCGGGGCCGCCCCGCGCTGCCGCCGCCGCCGCCGCCTGGCCCTGCCTGGCCGCCGTGAGTCCCGCCTCAGCCCGCGCCCGTCCCCCGCCCGCCGCGGCACCATGTCCGGCTCCGGCAGGAAAGACTTCGACGTGAAGCACATCCTGCGCCTCCGCTGGAAACTGTTCAGCCACCCCTCGCCGGCGGGCGGCCCGGCGGGGGGAGGCTGCCTGCCGCCCGACAGCAGCTTCGAGCACTGGGGACCGAGCCAGAGCCGCCTGCTGAAGAGCCAGGAAAGAGGCAACGGCGTCTTCTGGAAGAAATCCACCTCCTCCGCCTCCTCCTCGGCGGCCACCACGGCCAGCCCGCCCAACGGGACGCTGCTGCCCGCCGGCGGCCGGCCGGCCACGGGGCACGGCCCGGGACCGCCGCCGCCCCGCACCGTCTTCTACGTGGAGTCCCTGGAGGAGGAGGAGGAGGAGGAGGCGGTGCCCGGCGGGATGGAGGTGGCCCGCGAGCCCGAGAAGCCCCTGGCGGCGCCGGAGCGGGAGGAGGCGCCGGGGGGCTGCGCCGATGGAGGCAGCCGGGCAACAGGTGACGGAGGCGGGCACAGGTAGGGCAGCGCGGCCGCTCCGGCGCCACCTGCGCGGCGGGCGCGGCCGGGTCCGCGGGGCCATCGCGGGGCTGTGCGGCCCCGGGGCAGTGGCGGGGCGGGGGCGCAGCCGGGCCGGTGTGCTGGCCTTGGTGCGGGAGGGTGCGGGTCTGGGCGCGGGACGGTTCCTACAGTTTGAACTGGCAGGGTTGGGAGGCGAAGGGAAGGGCGGCTGGAGGGCTGCGCAGGGTCCCGGGAGAGACCGACCAGCCTCACGGTCAAGGTGCCGAGGACCAGGGATGCTGCCCTTGGCCTGTCCCCGGCCGTGCCCCTGCTCCTGGCCTGCGGCTGCCCCTGTCCCTGTCCCTGTCCCTGTCCTGTCCCTGTCCGCACCTCCGCCCCCGCACCTGGGCTGCCCGTGCCCATGGGGCTGGCCCGAGAACAGGCTCTTCTCAAAGCCGGCGCTCCGCGCTGGGGATCGTCGCTACCCAACTTTCTCAGAAGTTTATTAAAACGCTAGCGGGAGGTGGTGTCGTTCTGGGTACTGGGATGACAGGTGAAAGCTCGGAAGTAAAGGCTTCCACTTTCTTGAAACTCGGTGGTGTTACAGCCTACCTCAGAGAAAAATAAGACTTCTAAGAATTTTATGAATCATCAACTGAGTGACACATGAGAGAATGTAAGAGCAAGAAAGACACATCCAGATTCTTGTGTTTCATACAAATGCGTTAATGTTGAATTGCTTTTCCTTCCCATTCCCTGCCCTCCTCATGCCCAGCTGAAACAGAAATTAAAACCTTTTGAAGAAGGAAAAGTAGCTGACAGAGACGTTTCAGAAAAACTCTGATACAGATAGTCCTAAGCGTAAAATGACTCATTACTTTAACTCTGCTTGCTCCTGCCTCCCCACAGTTAAGATTATTTCATTTTCATTTCCCTTGGTTTTTGTTTGGTTTTTTTTTTTTCCCTATGGAAAGAAATGTACTGTTCAGTTTCTAAACATGAAAAGAAATAAAATAAATTATTTGTTTTCTTGTTCTTTTTTTCATATTAAAAGTTAAATATATAGTATTAAATATTTTATGACATGAAGGGATAGCACTGTGCTTATGTTTGGATTAGTATAGCTGTAGATAAACATATGGGTGTGTAACTTTGAGTATGTTACACCTTTTCAGAGAGCTCTAAAGCATATATTCTCTCCTTGAATCTCTTATTGTTTTGTCAGCATAGTTGATTTCATAGGAGCGACATACTTTTAAACATGTGAAATAGCTGCTAAGTGAGTTAGGGTATATTTTTAAAGCACAAGCAATACTGAAGTTTTTATGAACACTGGAAGTTGTTCTGAGCAACAAGAAGGATTCAATTCAAATTGTTATCAGATACACTACAAAGACAGGTAATACACCAACCCTAAAATTATATCTTCAAGGTTTTTTAAGAGGGAATGGGAGAGGTTAAAAACTATTACAAATATAATTTCAGTCTTTGGACTTTTCATTTAGGTGTGTCACTGATGTGAGATTCTGTAGAGATCTGCATACTAACAGAAATTTACTGAGTGGCACCACTTGATTTGTACATAAGATTTGACTTGATAGAATGTATGTACTGTGTGACACTGTGTATCTGATTACTGCTCTTGATTTTCATAATCCATTTATTTCATGTTCTTCATTCATTGTTTCTGAAACAACACATCTAGTCATCAGTAGCTCATAATCCTGTTGAAGAAATATGCTTGAATTTGTTCAGATTTAAAATAACTGCTTCAGGAGATGTGATATCATTATTGATGAAAATGCCACCTTTTGAGGTATGAAAATGTTTAAGATAGTTTTAGGGTCTAAGACTTGACTTTCTGTTTCTTATTAAGGAACCTTTCATTTCCCTCTATGAACTTTGTATGTTATGTCGAGAGGTGGTCAAGTGCTGCAAAAATGACAGTTCTGTGCTTGAAAGTTCTTTGATCCAACAGTCTTCTAATGCCCTGGAAAGTTTTGTCTCACTCATTCTGTAGACATAAGTATTTTTATAAATGTTTTTTCTGCTATTGACATATATGTAGAAGTGAAAATTGCTTTTTGTTTTTTATTTTTAGTGCCTATTTAGTATCATTGAATCTCCAAAACAGTGTTGGTTGTATGCTTGTTTGGGGTTTTTGTTTGTTAGTTTCTTTGTATTAATTTTTTTTCTCATTTAGTCTCCTCAGCTTGGTACATTAATTTTGTACTGGTATCCTTTTTCAGCTCAGCTGGATTTGTTTTTCAGTGGAGTTTTAGTTACTGTTTCTACATCTAAGCTAAACACAAAGCTGGACGATCTTGAATTCTTGGTTTTAATGTTCTGTTAGATATTGTGGGATTTATTTAATGAGAGAATATGGTTGTGTGATAATAAATACATTCTACTTTACTAATTTGGGGTTTTTGCATGTTTCTGAAGAACATCCTGTCATGACAATTGTACAGTATATCTATGCATAAGTAAGGAATAAACATGGATAGTCCTACTGGAATTAAGAAGACTGAAGGGTTAGGGCATGTTATAAAGTACTCACCTAATTGTTCTACTTTCTATACTGTATCTGTAAAAAGAAAAAAAATGTTTTACAGTTAACAATTAGTGTTAGAACATGGTCTGATTGCTTGAAATTGCTTGGAAACATGCATATCAAATTGGTTTAGAGCTGGCATGACAAAATTGTCAATAGATGCAGTGGGTATTTAAAGATTCTTTTTTTTGGTCTTCATTTCCTAAGACAAAACTGTTAGGAAAAAAAATCTATAATACAAATTTTTAATTAAAATTTACAAATCAGCCTCAAAATGCTTGGAAAAGACCAGTGCAAAGATTTGTGATGCATCCATCAGAGCCTCAAAGTTTATAATGGAGATTTTACATGCTCATGATGGCTCTTTTCAGGTGAGTTGTTAATCAGCCCTCAACATGAAGGGGATTCACTTAATAGGAAAAGAGTTAGTATTTTAATTCCTCCTTCCTGACTGGATGGTAGCATGTTTTCCTTGCCTCACACTATTCAAATCCTATGAAGATGTAATTCCTCATGAGCCCTTGGCACTGTTCACCACTACACTCAGTATGTTCCTCACAAACTAGTAACAGGTTTATTTTTACAACAGCCCTATTTTACAGAGGAGGGCAAGCCAGAAAGAGAGATAAAAGAAAAAAAAAAATTGAATTGATTGGTTTCAGCGCATATAGCACTTTTCTCCCACTACTTTCTCTGTTCTCAGTTGCACCCATAAATGATGAGCCCATCTGCAAACCAGTCCCAGACTCCTCTGGTTGTGTGTGAGAGAAGTGTAGAACACAGAATTCAATTAACATTTGGTTTAAGAGACACTTCCAAGAAGAATATGCCAGATATGCCTAACCCACATAAAGCAAGCACTGACAATACAGAAGTCTTTCATAAAACATACAAGAATTCAAAAATACAGCTTCTGAAAGAAGATGGCAAATCCTCCCACCATTAGATACTTTTTAATAGTGTACTGTAAAGAAAGAAGCAAAAGGACTGAATACTGTGCCTTCCTCACACAACAGAGTTTCATGCTCAAATGTTGAGTCACTAGGAAAGTAATGAGGAAGGTATTTTACTGTGTTTCTGTCAAGTTTTGTCAATGGGAAGTAAAAAATTCAGTATTAATGGGAATCCAAAAGGTTAATAAGTGAGAGAATTATTTTCTAATTCAAACATTAACTGAGAAATTTAGCTTGCAAGTCTCTCTGGTCAAAACTATTTATTTAAATTAAATCACTGTGATCAGTGAAGAATCAGGAACATAAAAATGTGCATGGTTAAGCTATATGACCAAGGCTTTTGTATAAAAATTTCTTTTGTATTTTTCTGTTCTGAGCCCACAAATCCTGCATTTTGATGCCTTTGCCCATTAGTCTCCACTTCCAAGTTTTCTTCCTTTTCTCCTAGCAACCTACAATCTTGTGGTTGGCATGCTGCTGTAGAAAGTTACGAATTTGAAACCTATCAGGATGAGCAACATTCTCAATGCATCTTTCTAATTTAATGAGAAAATATTTTGTCCATTTTAGAAAATGTGGATAAAACTGTCATAAAATATGCTACTTGACTACTTCATGTACTGCTGTAACTTTGTCTAGTCTTAGGAGAAGATTCTGGTCCCTGGTTTCTAAGTAAATGGAGCCTCCTGTTTACAGCTTTCATCTTGGTACCTGAACTTACAAGAAGAGGAGAGTCAAGATACCTTCCTATGCCTTAGTCTGCCCTGTGAGCTCTCACAACTTCAAGTATTTTCACAACTGATCATGTGGCCTTTCTGAGGTGTTATCCATATTTGAACCATACCTTCCTTCTCCTGTGATAACCAGATCCTAAAATTAGATCCTGAAGAAGTCAAATTAATAGCTGCTTATGTTTTTTTATTATCTCATATAAACTGCTTTGTTAAGAAGGTAATTTAATTATTGGGGTGGAATATAGATCACAAAATTCTGCATTTCTAGGTTATGGAATCAGAAGAGGATAATCCATTTGTTTTTGTCATGAGCCAGTTTTTCAACTTTATTATGAAACTTCTAAAAATGGTTATATAACTTGTAGGCTTTTATATTTATACTTTTAACTTTCACAACAAAAGAATCAGGGTTGCTACACAACACAGGCCACAGACCTTTCTCCTCCAAAGTTCTTATTCATTCTCAGAGGGTCTATGCTTCGTGCATGGGATGCAGAAGAATCAGGTGATAAAAATAGTGCAAGATCACATAGCTAAAGACTGTATATATATACGTGTATGGAATTAGATAAGTTACAAAGAGAATCTAGGTCTAGAATTTCCTAACTTTAAAAACTGGCTTTGGTACTTGTATAACAGCATTTCTAAAGCTTGGCTGTTTGTTTTGGTTTGTTTTTTAACAAAAGAAGCAGAAGAGCACACAAGTCACTTTATGTACTGGCACTTCTTTTGTCCATCACTAGAATGCAGAACTGAAACTTGAGGATTCACTGTGTA